TTTTATATGTATTTATATAGATAACATAAGAAATAAAGAGTTAATTAATCTATAAAGCAGTACAAATGACTCAGTGCAACTCACTCCCATGAGACAACTGTGAGACACTGGCAGTCCTTCAAGTCTTGAGGGCCGCCTTTTAGTCCTCTGTAGAGCAATTCAGGCTGCTCGGGCACAGGCAGCAAACAGCAAGGCAGGTCACCAACAGTCAGCCAGATGACAGGGTCCGACAGTCCCCAGCTCAAGAGATGTAAATTCCAATGGTGTGGCGAAGCAGGTCTTGAAGGAACCTCAAACTACAGCGACACAGTCCACAGATTAGGTGTCCCACAGGTAGTGTAGCTTGCAAATGGAGGCACAGAACAAGCAAGGTAGCCACACATTGGTCCGATGATCAGAGAGCAAGAGAGAAGGAAGGCAAGTGTCACTGAGCCATTTATCTTTCCACCCTTCAATTAATCCCACATGTGCCGTATGGAATATGACTCAATGTGAAGAAAACCAAAATTCTCACAACTAACAGGTAAGAATCATGATAAATGGAGAAAAGGTTGAAGTTGTCAAGGAGTTCGTCTTCCTTGGATCCACCATCAAAGCTCATGGAAGCAGCAGTCAAGAGATCAAAAGACAAGTTGCATCGGGTAAATCTCCTGCATAAGACCTCTTTAGAGTACTGAAAAGCAAGAATGTAAAAAAAAAAGGAAGAATGTTATCCTGAGGACTAAGGCATGCCTGACCCAAGCCATGATACCTTTGATTGCCTCTTATGAATATGAAAGATGTACACAGAATAAGGAAGACTGAAGAATGATCAATGCATTTGAATTGTGGTGCTGGAGAAGAATACCGAAAGTACCATGGACTGCTAAAAGGACCAACCAATCTGTCTTGGAAGAAATGCGGTCAAAGTGCTCCTTAAAAGCAAGGATGGCCTGGCTTTATCTTTATAGACTTTGGACATATTGTCAGGAGAGAGCAGTCCCTGGAGAAGGGCATCATGCTTGGTAAAGGGGAGGGGCAGCGAAAAAGAGGAAGACCCTTAAAGAGATGGATGTGCACAATGGGCTCAGGCAGAGGAAGTCAGAGCCCTGTTTTATTCTGTTGTGCTAGGGCCATTGTGGCATGGAACTGACTGGATGGCACCTAACGAAAACCACGACACCCTAAAATAACCCCTAGCCCAGGATTTGCATACCCATTTGGGCCTGCACTGGAGACCTTTGAAAAAGTGCTTTCTTATTCTGGATCATGTTTGGCTTGCCTTCGCCTGCCCTATTTCTTGGGTCTAGAGCCTGTAGCCTGTTACCTGACCTGATTCAGTAACTTCGTCAGCCTTGTGAGTCAACAGTTTGATTTGGTCTGAATGAAGATACCCCCCAGTGGTTCTCAACCTTCCTAATGCCGCGACCCTTTCATACAGTTCCTCATGTTGCGGTGACCCCCAAGCATAAAATTATTTTCATTGCTACTTCATCACTGTTATTTTGCTACTGTTAGGAATCATCATGTAAATATCTGATATGCAGAATGTATTAGGCAACCCCTGTGAAAGGGTCGTTTGACCCTCAATGGGGTCGCAACCCACAGGTTGAGAACCGCTGCTGCAGACAGATGTCTGCAATTCTGACTGGAGATTGCCCGCATCCATAGCCGCGTGAACGATGGGCTCGTTTCTGAGACCTGGAAGACGCTGCTGTGGATTTCTGAACCCTAGGATGTGAAGGAGATGACTGAAGAGGGAAATGGTGGTTGATATCAGAGATAATGGGGCGGCATATCCTTTTGTAAAAGATGGACTTTTGGGACACCTTAAGCTTCCATCTCACTGGGGCCAGTCTTCTGCTTATCTTTCTAAAATAAATTATTTTTGCAGCGATATGCCAAAATTTTTTGTATTTCTGCATACTAGCAATGAACACGTGGACACCAAAATTAAAAACAACACTATTCAATGACCAAGAAATAAATATGGGTGAAGAAGTAGCGGGGATTGAGAACTGCATGATGTCCTTCTCCAGGGACAGGTCTCTCCTGATAACATGTCCAAAGTATGTCAGAGGAAGTCTAGCCACCTTTGCCTCTAACATAAACATAAGCAATAACAAGCTATTAGCATAAACACCAAAAACGTTCAATTCCCCCCTCAGCTTCTCATTGAATGTCTCATATTTCGGCTGTCAATTTGATCACATATAGATCATTCCAATTGGATTCTTGTTTGCATGGGCTCTTTCATGGGCCTTCGGGAGATTTCTATCTCTCCTTTTTGCAGGATGCTTAACTCAAGAATTTCTAGTCTGGGTGTTCATTAATGATACTTCTATGGTCCCTAAAAAGTCAGCATTTACCTTCGGCATCTCCTTCTGTAGTTCTTGTATCTGTTCCATTGGAACAACTTCGGATGACTTGCTCTTCCACTTCCTTTCTCCCTCCTATTTGGCTTCCATCCAGTACAAGGGAGGTGGGGGGGGGGGGGGATCACACCTCCCATGCCCCTTAAAGCATGGGGAATGTAGCCTAATCCTCCTACAGTCGTTTTTATCTTTTCTTGGCAAGAATAGGAGGTCACTCCTTTCCGTATCTTAACTTCAGGGAACATTTCCATAGTTCTCTGTGAGCCCTAGCCAGCTTCTCAGGGCAGGTTTGAGGAGGACGCAGTTTCTCTTCCTCTGGGTCTCCTCCTCAAGAGAGCCCTCACGAAGTTTCCCTTCGACTACATTTAAATATCTTTAATCTGGCTGAGGGGTTCAAAACCCAGTCAGCCAGTTTTCCACAACCAGCTCTCCTTTGTAAACATGCAGAAGGGTTGGTCTCACACTAAATTTGGTAGGACGTCTATTGTATTGGAGCTTTGGTGAAAACTGTGGTAAAAAGAATCCTACACTGTGGCCCTGCTGTATTTATGTGTATGGTTACCTCCTATGTAAGGCAAGAAATATCTGCATTTCATTTATGCTAGACAGCTTGTTTTTTAGATGAATGCATTTAATTAGACAGTGAGTTGGTTTAAAGATAAGCATTAAGTAATAAAGTACAGGAATGACATAGATATAACTAAAAATGCAGAGATAGTATATGAATAATAGTCACCATATCTTGTAAATCAAAGGTATTTTGTGCAGATTAATTTGGTAGAAATGAGAAAAATATATCAGAGGAATGTGAAACTGTCGTTTTATCACGAATCTCAAAAATACATGAAAATACTCAAACGAAGCTATAGGAGATGATACAGGTTACATTTAGAAATAGAAATCCCTTCTGAGAATTAAAGACTAACCAGTTATTTATCTTATTGGCCATATTCTCCAACATTTGTGGAAAATGACCCATCCTTCTGAAATGGATGTAAACTAAAAAGCCATGCATTCAAGGGGCCTCATTTCCTACCCAGAGTTTATTGCTCCAAATAAACAATTGACTGACTCAAGTGTGGCTAATCCTAATCTTTGTTTGGGAGTTTGAAATTAGGACCTGGAGATTAAAATTCCGTTTGACCATCCCCTTCCAAGATAAATCAGTGTTGCCATGTTGGAAAATTACATTTTTGAGTTTGTAAAATAGATAGTCCTCATCTCAGATCCTGAAGCGTATTACCCAAACTTCTAAAATCTAATGAACAAGAGCAACACCCCACCCTAAAATTCTGATTTTTAAGTTTACAATGAGAAATATAATAATTCAACAAACTAGATACTTGGTGTACAGATCAATATTTTACCAGTGTAGTTTAATCTCTAGGAGCCACCAGATTACCAGAAAGTTCCTTGAAACCAGAACAAAAGACATTAGCTGAGTGGTGTGTAGCCTCTGAACCATGATAATAGGATGTGTCCAGGAGGCTATACTAATCTCAAGTATTAGTTAGTTGTGGGGTTTTATGGGGGATCTGGATGCCTTTTATTTCACCCTTGCCGAAAACATTCGCTGGTGCCACCTTTCTTTGTCCTTGCATCCCCAGCTAACTCTCTCTCTCTTTTTTATTAGGGGCTCATACGACTCTTATCACAATCCATACATACATCAATTGTGTAAAGCACATTTGTACATTCATTGCCCTCATCATTCTCAAAACATTTGCTCTCC